AAGATGGTCGCTCGAGATTTTGCGACTGGCGGTAACATAAGAAGGAAGGGAGAGAGAGGAGAAAAATAAAAGAAAGAGGAGAAAACAATAAAAGAAATCGAGGAAGAAAAGAAAGGGGGAAGGGGGGTGAATGAAGAAGAGAAAGAAAGGGAGAAGTGAAAGGAACAGGAAGGCATTTTTCTATCGGTGTTTTTGTATTTTCCGAAAGTTTGCTGTTGAAGGGAAAATTGTGTTTTGTTCCCGTTTACCTTTTTCTCACAACCCACAAGGGGGGGGGGAGGGGGACAAGGAAAAAAAATATTTATAAGTGGTTCATCAACTCTTTATTCTCTTATGCATCACTATAGATGAGCCGAATATAATAATACCCAGGGTTTTGGCGTCTCCACTTTCCTATATATGTAGCAGATACGCCAAGGAACAAGACCGGAAGTTGGGCGTGCATTGCCATGAAAGAGGTCACACAGGGTCAGATAGCGAGTGTGGATAATAAACTTTTTTTCTTCCATATCCAAAGCAGTGAGAACAGATAGTAATATAAGATTCGTAAAACAGCCTTAAACATTAGCACCAGAAAGGGACAAATGTGCTGTATTGAAGACATAAGCGCATATATCCCGCAAATGTGAATCGAAGTGGGAGAATATCCGCACACGCCAAAAAGTGAGAGAGGAATTGCAAATCCACACAAAACAAAAACAAACAAATAAAATAAATAGATAAAAGAAAAGAAAAAAAGAAAAAAAACAAATAAATAAAAAAATAATAATTAAATACAATACAATAAAATAAATAAATAAATAAATAAAAATAAGATAAATAAATAAATAAAAATAAAATAAAAAGACTCTATGACGCAAAGATTTTCCAAACAACCGACTCCTTTTCCGACTCAGGGCGACCATCCGAATACGGCCTCGCTCTTCTGACTTCCACATCTGCTGTCATTTGTGGCGTTTCTTACGCAGGGGCTAAATTTGCGGTGTTTATTGTTGTGTGTTTTTCTTCTCGCATTCTTTGGGGGGGGGGGTATGTTTTCGTCCCTCTCTCGGTGAGGTTGCTTTGGAAATTTTTCCTGTGTATTTTTCCCTCTGTTTTGTTTCTTTTTCATCTCTTTTAGGGTTTTATAACACATGATAGTCAGCGTGCTGCCGTTACTCGTAACATGGATAACAACGATAATGATTATTTTTATTAGCATCATCATCGTCATCAATCATCATCGTCATCATCATCAATAATCATCATCATCATCAATAATCATCATCATCATCATCATCATCATCATCGATATTACTACTACTACTACAACTATTAATAATAACATTAGTAGTCGTAGCGTATACATAGACATATTTCTCCTTCCTTTTCTTTCTTGTGGTAGATCTACATTTTACTGCTAATTCAGCTGTTGATGCAGACGACAAAAAACAATGATTTCACAAATTACCTTTCTATCTACATTCAACGCATCCACACCGTCTCCTACCGCGATTTATATTTGAAGCATAATCAGCCCATACAAGGTCTCTCTCTCTATATATAGACCTTATCAAGGGACGTACTCAAAGAAGGCAGATTACCGAGGCCGGGAACCTGCGCTGGCAACCCCCGTGCTGCAGGATGCGGGTAACCAGCTCGGCCAAGCGGGGCGAGGGGTCGAGCTGGCAGTTGTGGTCCTTCTGTGGCGACGAAAGTGCCGTTGCAGAGAGAGAGATGAAATTGCGGATGATGGTTCTATGAAATTGGAAATCCCAACTGTGATGTAACGATATCTGTCTTTTTGTTTCTATCTGTATATGTATGTATATACGTATAAATGTGTATGTGTGCGTATGTGTATATGTATATCTATATTCGTGTATGTGTATATGTATGTATATTTGTATGTATATCTATGTATG